CGGTCACCTAGTACGGCTGAGTCTAGGACTGGGGGTGTCGTCTTTGGGGTGCTTGGACTACCTTTGTTCTTCCTTGAATTTGACCGTCTCTCAGTCTGTGCAGGACACTATGGCTCGGACTAAAAAGACAGCGCTTGACCCAGAATATAGGGAAGATAGCACGTTGGAGGTGCCGGCTGACGAGGTCTTTGACCATCCCCTAAGTTCAACGAGCACTCCAGGTGACTCTAGTTTAGAAGATTCTGAAGGGAGAGTCGATGAGGAGTCCGGCTGTGATTCGAAGTCTGAAGAAACTAGCAGCTCGTTGGAGGCGGCTATTGATAGTAAGGAGGATAAAGTATCCTTATACCCTAAGTAGACGGATCTGTTTAAGATTCACGTGTCTGCTAGGAATAGAGCAAGCATGGAGGCGAACTTAACCGCCTTCATTAGTAAACATCCCCTCGGTGGGGATTATGATATTCAAGTGCCACTTGAGGATGGCATCGTAGTCTAGGATGAAAATCAGCCGAACACCGACCGCTATTTTAACTGTTATAAGGCGGCATACTTGGCCGGCTTACGCTTCCCCCTCCATGATGCCGTGAAGGCTATTTTGAGGGGTTACAACCTTGGTGTACGGCAACTCACCCCCAACTCTTGGGTGAACATCTTAGGGTATGTTAGCGCCTGCGAGATGCAAGATATTAGGCCTAGCTGGGAGGCCTTAGCTAAGATGCACTACCTAAGCTGTGCCCCAGGCGGCAGGCGGGCGTGGTACACATTGACCACTTACCTAGAATACTTGATGACGCTTGATAAGAGCTCAAAGTGGACCAACTGGAGAAATAAGTTTTACCTCATCACCTCCCCCAACCGGCAAGATAACCATGACTTTGGCTGGTGGAATAAGAAACCCAATCTTCTTGGTAAGAAGTACACTTTGCCACATGTCACAGAAGATGGATGGGATCAAATATTGGAGCTGGAATTTTTCGGCGTCACCACTATGTCTTTGTCAAACGACGATCAAATAATATTTCCCAAGAATTAGGTGCCTAAACATGAGTGGTTGAAGGACAAGTGCTTCTTCACCGCCTACGGTCTTAGCACCATGTTTGGCAGACGTACGTAGGATAGCCATCTGACATTGTATTATGTTGTGTCTGTTGCTTGTTTGCTTTTGTTTCTTGCTTTGTCTATTTCTCTAACAGACGTTTTCTTTTTTCTTTTTTTAATTTTCCCGAAACGGCTAAGAAGATGCTTTCTCCAGACAAGACACTTGCCAGGTCAGCAGCTCAAATCCAAAAGGATAACCTGGAGAAAAAGAAGGCCCAATATGCGGCTACTAAGAAGGGTCAGGTAAGTTCATATATTTTTTTTCTTTCTTTTTTTTTGAGACGGCAAGTGTCGACTGTGTTTGACATGATATTTTCTTTCAGGATGGGATTAAGGGGCCTCTCAGATTAATTCAAAAAATGATCAAGCGAAAGCTGGAGGACGAAGCCAAATGATCTTCCAAATAAAGGAAGGTTTCCTCCTCTCAGGCGGTCCCCTCTCTTTCTAGCAAAGACCGTCCGACCACAGCCGGAATGAGTCTGAAGAGCTTTGGTCTTGGGGTCGACCTCACTAAAGAGCCGAGCCCTTAAAGGCGCTTAAGAGTGGCGTGCTACTCGCTGCATCCGGTTCTGCAACGGTTGTAGGCAATCAGAGCCTTCAGTTAGTGTCCCAAGGTACGACTGCCTCACTTGACCTTCCTCGGTCCATGAGGGTAAAGTCTCAATTTCATCAACAGTCGAAAGATTCTTCAAGCAGCTAACAATCTATTGAAGCCGCTTATGCTACATTCTCACAAAATCTTCCTTATTCTGCAAATCTTTCCCCCAGATGGCTAGATATCCAATAGTACTCCAAAAGGATGTTGAAGAAAATTATAAGGTCTGAAGAGGAGGCCATCCGTGGGGTGCACTCGACTAACTTCGAACGCATCACCGCCTTGCTGGCTGAGGTAACTTAGTTAAATTCAGATCTTTAAAGCCGCCTACAATTGTGCAAGTCATGTTCGGATCCGTGTCCGAACCACTATCAGCTTTGGCTGCCTTTTTCGACGGCTGCTTGGGGTCCGTCTGCAGAGTCACCTTGGACTTTAGGACATAGGATTTCAGCAATCCCTTTTCGGCTAATTTATACAATAACCATTTGAGGCTATAGTAGTCATTGGTGTCATGGCCAATATCCTCATGGAAATGGAAATACTTGCTCTTGTCACGGTACTTGGACGGACCTTTCATCGCCGAGGGCTTTTCATAGCTCACCCGGTCTTTGATCTCCATGAGGATGGAGTAACAATATTTGTTAAACTCGTACTTAGGACGTACGACTTAACTTCTTATTTTTTTTTCTTCTTGGACGACTGATTAGAATCGTCGACTGCCCAGATATCTTTTCTCTTTTTGTTCTCTTCATTTTTTTGAGCCGGATGATCTTGCCTACTCCCTTTCTTCTTGTCGGACCTCTTTGAGTCCAGTTGCTTGCTGGAGGAGCGGAGTTTAGTCACTTGTACATAGGCTTCTGCCTCCCTCAGCGCTTCCTGAAGAGTGAAAATTCTCTTCCAGACGAGGTCGAACTTAAAAGTCGACCCCTCCTTAAGACATTTAAAAAAGTCTATGAAAGCAACTTCGTCAAACAGTCCTTGGGTCTGGATTCTCACCAGATTAAATCGCCTGACATAAGAACGGAGCCCCTCTATGTCTCCTTGTTGAACAGTGCCCAAGTCGATGCTCGTCTTCTTGGCCGATATGTTTATGGAGCCCCTCTATGCAAGCGTCCTAAAGTTGTTTATGCACCCAGGCGGCAGGTTGCCAAACCACTGTTAGGCAATGCCCTTTAGTGTAGCTGGGAAGCATCTGCACCATGCAGCATCATCCAACCCCTATAGGTACATGAGGTTGGTATATGCCATTAGGTGGCCTTCTGGGTTGGTGGTGCCATCATAGGCACCAACCAAGACATTCTTAACCTTGGTCGGTTGTGCCGCCTGGGTTATCTCCTTAGAGAACGCAGTAGGTTGTTCTCCATGTTTGAGCAAACGGAGCTGCTAGTCCAAAGGTTAGACTTGATATTCCGCCTATCCTCCGAAGAGTGCAGGCTGCTAGAATGGTTGGCCAAACGGCCCGTATGATTGGTGGGGCACATACGGCGCCGAGCCTATCACGTTGGGACCTGTATGGACGGACTGGTCGCCTAACAAGTGCTCTTGTGTAGATTGGGAATACCTCAGTGAGGTATTCCTGAAGCTATCTGGCATTGTCAGCGTTGATGCCGTGTCAGATAGCTGGTTATTTCTCCTGTGCTCGATGAACTGCCGAGCATCAGTGTAAGTCTTTTTGCTGCCATCCGGGTGGATGTGTCAGATGGGCTTCCTCTTCGCCATCTCTAGGAGACGGAATTTCGTCTAATCGATCAAGGGTTGGTCTCCCTCCTTCTGCTTGGGACGTGAAGTGTGCTGCCTATCCTTGACCTTCTTTGCCTACTCAGAGTGAGAAGGTTTCTTGGCCGGCTGCTCCTTGCTTGGACCAGCCGTTTGACTTTTAATCAAGTCCTTCAACTTGGCCTTGAAGTTCGTCATAAACTTCAAGAACTCTGAACGGGTGATGTGAGTAGTCGACCCTTCAGCCTGAGGCTTGCCGGTTGACTTGCTCACACCAACCTGGTCGGCATTCCACTCCTTCTTGTCTTTGGAACGGATGCTTCTTGTTATGACAGAACCATTTGGGGCCTTATATACTTCGGCCTCTAGTTCAACCTCAGACTCGATATCATGGTCTAAATAGACCTCTGCTTCTGGAAGTATGTCCTCAAGAGATGGTATAGGTTCTTGAGAAACCATCTTAGAGGTACTCTCCCCACAGACTGCGCCAAAATGTTTTCGGGTTCTCTAATGTGTCCTGCGAGAGAGTTATGTCACTAAGACTGGGTCCTCGATGCCTGTACCTGTAAGCAAACGGAAGCTCTAGTTGTTCGGAGTTCAGCCTCCAAAGCTCAAGTAAGTGCGGGGTGGAGTGTAATAAATGCGGAAAAGTACATATAGAAGATTTTCTCAAATCCCGAGATCTGGTGAATCATTGTAGAGAGTGATTGCTATAATAAATGAGTGATGTAAGAATTGAATGTGTGTATCTTCCTCCCAAGGTAATAAATCCCTTGTTTATAGGGCATAGGAGTTAGTGCCCTCATCCTAGGTTACTATAACCTAGGTACTTTGGGCTGCGCCGTTTTTACGGCGCCTCATGATTTGGGCCCTTGAAGGCCGCCATTTCCCTAATGATGGGGGGATACCACGTGTCAGCCGCTGATTGGTTCCATTGGGACAATTCCTAGGTTGACACGTGTCACCTTCTGATTAGTCTACGTGGCTAGGGTATTTTTAACCCTAATCACACTGGAATCTATGTACCAAGATGGGTCATAGTTCTGGAAACCCATCGCTATAAAACCGTTCTCGAGCTCTGTTAGAGTCGTCCCTGCACCATACTCCGACCCTTGTGGCACATAGGGCTGCTGCTAATATGGAGGCCTAGGAGGGTTTGGTGCGGCTTAGTAGGTTGCTGGCGCGCGGGCCTATTGCGGGGATGCATAGGCTGGTCGTAGTGCTGCACCTTGTTGCTGCGGGTACGGGTACGATGGCTGACCCCACTGAGGGGCTGCTAGCCATTGCAAGGGCCCATGTTGCTGTTGTCCCCAGTGCGGGGCGCTTTGTTGATGTTGTGGTAATTGTTGCTGCTGGTTTGATGGTCATCCACGGCCTCTACCTCGACCTTTTCTGTGGCCACGGCCCCTAGTGCCACCCCACGTCCAAATTGCTGAGGCTGCTGTTGTTGTGGTGTAGTGGTGCTTTGTGAAGCCGAGGTGTCTGAATATGCCACAAACGTAGAAGCAGCAGCATTAGTGTCGTTGGCTCATCGAGATTCCTCAAGTAACAAACGAGATCTCGTGGTCTCAAAGGAAGGCAAGGGTTCCGCCTATTGTATCATCACAGCCACTGTATCAAAATCAGTATTAGTAAGTCCCGAGACTAAACGAATTACCAATTTTTGTTCCGACACCGGTTGATCAACATTGGCCGATTGATCCTTCAAATTCTTAAATTGCCGACAATAAGAAGAAATATCTGGGAAGTGAGATAAATGCAAGGAATTGAACTGATTTTCAAGATAAACCGCCCAATGAAATTTGTTATCCTGTAAAATTTCCTGGAGTTTATTCCAGTTTTGTTGAGCTGTATCCCCTTTGCAAAGGATAGTTTCGAGCAAATCGGTAGAGACAGTGTCGTAGGTCCAATTTTTTACTACCAAATCAAGTCTTTTCCACATATCATCAGATAAACCCATCGGTCTTTTTGTTTTCGAATCTATATGATCAAGAACGTTGAATGCATGAGCATGACATTCGAACAACTCAACCCAATTCGAATATTGTACCTTCTCACGATCAAGAATAAGAGGGATGGCGTTTTTTTATGTTATTCACCCCGAAAGCAGGGTGAAAATCGGAAGAAGACGAGGTAACACCAACCTTGGTCATGGTGGCCGGCTAGGTGGTAGGGACGGTGAGTAAGGGGTGGCGGCTTAAGCTAGGGCTAGAAATTTAAAGAAAAAAAAAAGCGGAAAAAAATTTAAATTGCGGAAACTAGGTTGGATCAAAACCTAGGCTGTGATACCATGTTAGACAATGTAAACTCCTCCGATTAGAATGTATTCCATTGATTCATATATATAGGGTTACAACAATAAGTCCTAATCATGTTAGAAAATCTCATAAGATATTTACAGAATATACACAAAACTATATCCTTCTATACAAAATATAAAAAAGATCTTATAAAGAGTCTTCATTGAAACTTCGTGCATTATTACGAGCTAGAGATGGATATAAAATGGGCCAACATTACATGAAAATGGCTCGACCCGGCTCAACACAGGAGATTTACTTATTTATTAAAGGTTTTGCTGGAACGACGCGACACTCGTGGTTCAGAACATGTATGAATATTTTTTAATGAAGGCCTGAGTATGAGACATGTTAACACGACATAACCTATACCTATCTTTATTACGAACACAAACAACATAAAAAAATAAATTAAAAAATCAAATGAAATAACGAACACATAATCATGGGATAAGATAAGACTGTAAGAGTAAGACATTTCACCAAATCGTCGAGAAATTATTATCAATCGTAATAACTATGTGTAGAAACGAGTCGACCGACCTTTTAGAAAGAAATGGGTTCCGAAAGTTTGTAAAGTGGGACCCAAGTACGCGGACCTTCCACATGTAGCTCAAATGCAAGTCCTTGCATAACTAAATGCCTAAATCAACCTAATAACTACTCGTATAATCGTATTGTATAGGTTTAGACGTTTATTTTAGAGGGGTGAAAGTTGACACAACACGATATAAATCAAACACAAAAAAATTAGATTACTGTTAAAAGTTTACGATATGTTTTATAAACGAGTCAACATACACGATATGACATGTTTAATTAAACAAATCAGGTTAATGTTGAGAATTCCAACATGAAACTAACACGAATCAACCTGTTTAAGAAAAATAACCAATAATTTATGAAATTTATTTCCCTTATTCAAAGACACTGGGCTCACAAATAAATTAGATTTAATATTTCCTCTCTTAATAATTGACATGTTTGAGGAAATCACCATCAAAATCGAAAAAAATATTTAGAGACAGATAAAATATTAACAACAGTTTACTCATGAGCTCATGGCTGTAAATAATTAGTATAAATGACAATGATGTGTTTTTAGGAGGTGATTTTGCGGGGATAATTAAAGAACTTAAAGAAGAAGAAACTTTTTCTAAGAGCATCAACATTCATAGGGCTCCCCATAATTTCTCTTTACTCATCTCATTAGTCCACATTACTTTCCACTAACTTCATCACATACCCTTCCCATTTTACAATTCCATACCTACATTCATTAACCTCCCCATTTACTTTCTCTCTCCTATTTTTTCATATCTCACCACCTTTTCTCTCTCCTACTTTTTATACCCCCACCAAGTGTTTTGGTGTCCAAGTGTGCAAATTGGGCCCATCTGAATTTTTGGAAGGGTTCCCATCAAATTAACCTCCCAAAAATATTTATTAAATGGGAAAGGAGTAACATTGGTGGGAAGGTCCCCATTATTATTTTTTGGCAAATAAGAAGCCTATTTTTCCACCAATGTGGATGCTCTAATGGATGATGTTTAGTAATTCACCCATCATTTGTATACATTTATTCTCGTCATTAATATATATACAAGAAAGCTAACCCTAATAGCTGGCCAAAATGCTTTACTAGATCATTGTACATTTATACTCTTAGCTATGAAGCTTTTTTTTTTTTTTTTTTAAATTACTAGTATTTTTTTTACTTTTTAATTTTTTTGAAGTAAAGCTATCAAGTGGTGTGCTAGCTACTAGTCAAAGTCTGGGATGTTGGGCGCATCCAAACACATATTTCTGATTAAGGCGAACTTTTCATTAAGCTATTGCAAAACAAGTTAAAATTACCCTAAAAGTATTTAAATTTACCCTTATATACCACAAAAGTTACCATTTTCCTAACATATAAGTTTTACCCTTGTTAAAAAAACACGTATAATAAATTAGCTTAATCACATTAGCCATTATATCATGTATCCATTATATTAGAAAGTATTACAGATTAAAATACAATTAATCTCATTACAAATTAAAAGTTACCCTTAAGGGGATTAACATTACCATAAAAAATGTTAAAGTTACCCTCAAATTGACCGTCTTACATTAAAATTAGTGTAAGCCCGCCTTATTATACTAGAAGACTTATTGGCATCCAAACTATAATTCAAGGTGTTGAGGCCAATTTTGCCTTTGTTATTTTTTACTTGTCTCAAATTAATTTTGTACACTTTAATTTTTGGAAATACATTACTACTTCCTCCGTTTTTTTAGTTGACATGTTTTGATTTTTAACATACTATTCACACAAATCCTACGTACTTTGACTAGTATATTTTATTTATAGTTACGATAAAACATAATTATAGAGCGCATCGAAAAGTTATATAACTAAATAATGTATCCTGAAATGGTATTAATTTTGGAGTACATTGCATGTCAAAATTATGCATCGATCGATGTAATTAATGTTTTAATATCTCTGCTTTTAGTTCTCTTATTTAACACCTCAACGGATCTTGTTAGCTTTTGCCTTGTTAGAGTCGTCCCAAAATATCATTTAATCATAACATCAACTTTTTATAATTTTTACTAATTGATCTTTAAAAATAACTCATTGAAATAGTGTATTGACAAATGTGAAAAAAATATAATTTCAACTAAAAAAAACCAAGGAAGTATTATAAATTTTTTTTTTTGAAACATGAGGAAGTACTATTTTAATACACCTCTATATGCATGGTATATTCCCCTTATTTCCGATCACTTCTATTTTTCAAAATAATATTAATTGATGATCAAATAACAGCTTATTACAATTAATATGTGGCATATATAAATTGTAAAACTAATTTGGGATAGAGAGTGTGTGTAATTTTTTTTTCTTTAACTCCCCTAGATTAGTTAGGCTACAATTTGGAAGAAAATCTTTATTAAAAATAAACATAATAGCTATTACTCCTCTATTCTTGTAGATAGGACATGTTCTATTCAACTTATTTTACTCATCTAAACTTATCTTATCTTACATAAACTTATTTTAATTGCAATTTAATTTAAACTTGGGTAATCCTTATCAAACATTACTAGTCATATTCAATTACTTCTAGATAAATAGTTCTTTAAATTTAATTTAATACCCTTCTTTAACAATTTTACATAATTTTAAGCAATCTCGTCACTGGTTGTGTTCCTTTTCTGCGTTATCATATGTCGAATCATTAATCTTTTGAACAAACTATCATAATGGTTTTATTTTTTATTTTTACCTTTTTAACAAAATAATTAAAGAAAAAAATGTATTGAATCATAAAAAAATAAAAAATAAATAAATAAATAAATAAAAAAGGTTCAACCTATCTAGTTAAAATAATAATTTAGATCAATAAAAGTTAAACCATCATAATAACTTTTGTGTATCCAAAAAGAAAAAAGGTGCATTAACCCAAAAAAAATAATACTTAACTATAAAACCCAATCAAAACCAATGAAAAAGAACTCCTAGTCATTCCACCTTGTAATCTTGAATACAAGCCAAAAACCACCTAACCAAGAAACCCACTTTTTCCACATCCTACGCATCCTTCCTTAGCTAAATAATAAAAGCACATTCCATTACGTAATTGCAACATTCAAATCATTTTATGACCTTAATTCAATTCCCTTCAAACTCACACTAACACATTACCACCCACTTTCCACTTCATACTTTGCACCAAATTAAAGACACTTCACCAACAATAATCCATTATTTCCATAACAAAATTTCAAATAATTTCCTCCAAATTTAACTAACCCAAAAACATGTCATTACCACAATCACAAAGATCATTTTCATGTATCATTCCAACCATATTCCTAATTATTATTTTTATATCTCCAATAAATGGATTTGAATCAAGGAAGCTTGATGAAACAAGCTCATCATCCGACCCAAGTATAAAGTGTGGTGGTTGTTCACCTTGTGGTAATCCATCATGCTACTCGAGTCCACCACCGCCAACGCCTTCACCACCACCACCATCACCCCCACCGCCGCCTAAGAAAAAGCCGGTCTCAGCTTACTGCCCACCACCACCTTATTCACCATCAGGAACAGGCAGTGGCGGTAGTGGCTTTGTCTACATGACCGCGCCCCCAGGCCAACTCTACCCTGTTGATCCCAACTATTCAGGTTCACCCCGGATTTTTGCAGCTGCTAACATAAATCATTTATTTGGGTTTGTTTTACTAGGATTTTTAATTTTGTTGTTTTAAATTGCACATATAATATGTTTTATGTTAGGCCAAAATGGCTTGTTAATTGTTGTCATAGGTTCTTCAGTTAGTATTCTCTGTTCACATATGATCTATACGTGTAGTAAACAAGTTACTTAAGAGTTTGTGTATGTATACCATGTAACTCATAACTAAAACCCGATCATGATCGTGTGTTGAGATTCGATTCGATCGATCGAGCAGTTAAAATCATTATAGTAATAGAAATTTGTCGAATTTCTTCTTTTGAATTGATATAGCTTGTGAACAGAGAAACTAAAAGTCTTGTACTACTGTTTCATCGGAAATTCTGAATTTCACACTGATTTATTAAACAAAAGTGTTTCATGCATATACATATATTAATAAACATTTGTTGTTACTGACTGTACAAATT